AAGTACCAACTCCAAGTCATACACTGCAAATATATTGATATATATAAATAGTATTATTGCTAATAATAATTAATTTATATACAAATATTTAAAATTGCTATAAGCACTGGTTCATACCATATCTTTCACACTAAACAAATTTTGAATATAAAGAATATTTCTCCACCAATATTTCGGACAATTTTCGTGTGAAGCTTCCGTTATATAAAACACCGAGGTTTTGCTATACCACGTTGTATTAATTTGCTGTAATCCGATTAATATTAAGTAAGTCGGTGTCAATCTAAAACAGTAGAAGTAGTAAAAAATAAATGAGATATATTTAAAATTACTATTTTATCAATACTAATAAAACTAATATTTTTTTACTATCCTATGTTAGCGTCCAGCCATATACAGTCCTTCAAAACAAAGGATCGTATTTACTAGCGACAAATATACTGGTCAGCAAAAATATTATATTAATACTGTTCCGAAATTTCACTTATCATCTTTAGAATTACCAACTATTATGCATAAATTAATCCTAATATATTAAAAAATTAAAAATATTAAGAAATTGTCTTACCTTATAAATCTTTTAAGGACAACGAGAAAATATAATTTGATCCTAATAGAATAATTAAACGGTTCACTCTTGTCTATATCGCTCTTTAAATACAAGTAAGTGACTAGAAAGCCACCAAAAAATAAAAATGTATCAACAGATAAAGTTCCATTGAACATTACTTGTGCGAATAAATCCTCCGATTTTCTCAAAATCAATTGTCTATTTTCTTAAAATAAAAATTAAAGAAATAAAATAAAATAATAAAGAAAACCTTTGAGAAGTTTAAATGAGATCTCTTTTATTTATATAAATTAAATTGAAACACAATCATTACTAAAAAACTTACCAATATTATCTTTCCCAWAAATTAATRAGTGTATCAAAATAATCCATACCATCGTAATAAATTTTAATCCGTGTATAACCAATAAWGAAGTATTCTGAGATTTCATATTAAATATAATTTTCGTGTTCGAATATGCTGAAAAAGCTAGTAATATTTTACAAACAAATTTGTAGTATTTTGATATTTTCAGTTGACCCTTGTTATTATCGTTTTGCGTATAAGGTTCATCTAAAAAAATAAACGATTTTATATTAAATCATTATTTTTTTGTCCATAAGAATTAGGTATAATAATCCATTCGTTACTAATCACCAATGCGAAGATAGAATGGGTATAAATAATTTCTTATGAAATGATAATAGTTTAAAAGTATGTTGAAACAAAAGTATTGAAAATTATTAAAAAGATTTACCTATCGTTAGAGAATTAACATTTTCACGGTCTTGAGGACAATTGTCATTTTTCTTCAAACGTTTTTGGTATATCAAGACATCGTAGGCCGTTCCTATTATTATTAAAAGGAATGTGAGTACGACTATTARCCTAAAAAAAGACAACAACAAGAAAACATAATTATCTTTATATTTAACGAAGGACTAATATAAATTATAAAAGAATTGTTAGTTTACATCATTGTTATAAATGTTCCACCTAATAACCATCGATGGTCATCGATTAGATCTCTTACTTCAACTAACGTAAAATCAGCTGAATATAGTTCGCCTTTAAAAATAATTCTCTTTCTGAATACRTTTTCTAAAAGAATAGCAAGTTGATCCTTGGAACAGGATGATGGTAAGCACATACCAAGTATTATCATATCCTACGAAAAAAAAATCAAAATATTTAATAAAATTGTATTAAAATAACTAATTTAATTTTGAATAGAAACTTACTTCCTTGGGTATTCCAACGTGGTTTTGTAAAGTGCTATTATGTCGAAAATTAGCAACGAAGAATCTCACTTCAAAAGGTGGCAATTCATCCTTGATATTACGATATCTCGAATTGTTTTGTATTAACTTTTCTGATAATACGAGGAGATCCCCGTTTTTTGCGTCTTCGCATTGGCTTCTGCTACCCAACCAATAATTATTTCCATAGATGAATCCTGATTTAGGTTCACCGCTTGCATCGATTACTTGACAAAAAAACAGTAATTAATATTACATCATTTTGAACATCAAATCTAATTTTTTGGGCGGATAATACCATTGATAGGTGGAAAATGGACACATTTTAAGGGACACACTTAGTGTCACTGCCTAAAATGAAGGTGATATTTGGTAATTTTAAAAAAAAAACTGCTGCATGAAATATTTTAAAATTAAGAGGATATATTTATACATTATTAGCGAATATTTACTAAAAATTTCAAATTAAAAGAGGTAATTTTCTGCGAGTTATTCGCTATCTCTACAGTCACTAAAAAAAGAGGTCCTAAACGGCTGCAGCGATTCCGGCTTTCACCGTGGATAAAATAAAAAAAAAGAAATACTGTCAATCTAGAAAGTATTGCCTATACAATGATCTAAAATTGTGAAAAAAATTAGAATTTAACAAAATGGCTGACTTTTAAAAATAAATCGAATTTTACTTATAATTTTGATGATTTTTGGCCCGTCAAAATTACATTTTTTATACAATCGAAAAACTTTTAGGTCATTGTACAGTGAAACATATACGAAATTAGCAGAAAATAAAAACCAAAGC